GAGCAGGATGAGGGACTGCTATCATATTTAATATTTGAGTTTATGAATAAAAACAACAGAGCATTAGACATGTAGACTTAGATGTATGGTTGTATTAACATTTTTAATAATCTAAATATCCACTGGCTGGATGATCAGAGACACAACCACTTGTTTTTCCCGCTGTGTGTTTTGCAGACGGAGGAAGTTTGGACCCTCTCGGCCTCTGTAGCAGGAGCACGAGGAGGAGGAGGAGGAGGAAGAGGAGGAGAAGAGCATGACTGGTCCTCTGACGTGGAATATTTCCGTAAAGAGACTATGAAGGAGTAGCGGCGCGTAGCTCCACTTCTATCCCGGGATACGTTGAATCGAGACGGGATCACACAGCCCAGAGTCCCGGTGAGAGTGAGGCAGAGCCGGGCTGACGGATCCTCTCTCTCTCTCTGTGTGTCCCCCGCCTCCACACAGTCATGATTAAAGCCATTTTAATATTCAACAACCATGGCAAACCACGGCTGTCCAAATTCTACGAGCACTACGTGAGTAACCTGGCGTTTTTATTATTCCTACAGCCCCGTGTCTGTCTGTTTACTCCCCCCAGGGATGCAGCCTTGTGTTCCGCCTCGACAGGGCCACAGTGAACCTGCTGGAGCACTTTTTCCTCCACATGTTTTCTGATGCAACCATCAGAAAACATCCCCGCGAGCTGTGGTCCACTTCTCCCATTGTGTCGGATAAGATGTCAGCGTGAGCCGCTGAATTATTAACCGTGTGCGAGGCGATCACGTTTCCCCCTCCCCTGCACGGAGCCGCTCGTGTCCGGCTTAGTTCGGCTCCAGTGTCGGTGTCCAGCTGTGGAGGAGGTTGAGGAGGAGGAGGTGATGGAGGAACAAGGAGTGAGTGAGTGAGTGAGTTCACCCTGTGTTTGTGTCACATGACTTCAGTGACGCCCTTGTGATGGACTCGTGCTCACTTCTCACTCAGTTCACTTTGCTGTCATGAAGCCACAGGGACACTACCTGCTGCTCCAGGAGGAGTCAAGTGGAGGAGGTGCAGTGGGAGATGACAGCTTATGTAATATTCTTTGCTGGTGCTGTGTTGGCTTGTTCTCATAATTGGATTTATATCTCAAGGTTGGCTCCCACAACAGCCAGGTGGCCTAATTCTCTGCTACAGCCAGGCAGGAGTCTTTTGGGGGCCCTCTAGACAAAAAAGGGACCTGGGGGGGGGCCCTACCTAGAACCCAATCGAACACCCTCCCTTAAAGCGTCAGTGTGTAGAATTTAGTGACATCTAGTGGTGATGTTGTATTTTGCAGCTTGATACCCTTCACCTCACTCCCCTTCCACACATGAAACCTGTAGTAGCCTTCAGGTGATGTGAAAACTCAGAAGGTGTCAGGTTACTGTTAGAAACCTTCTCTAGTACAGACTTCCTGGATTTGAGGATTCGATCAACATCTTATGGAGACTGAAAACAACATTATCCACCATTTTGGCATAAAACATTACCTCTAGGTTCATTGGTTCATCAAAATTGCTGTCAGTTCTTTTTCTGTAGTCCTGCTCGTTGGTAAAGATGTAAAAAAAAGCCTCTCCTTGATATCTTCAGGTTTCAGACTATTTGTTTTTCAGACACAACCTTTTTTTTTTCATTTTCTGACATTTTATTGATCAAGAGCCAGTATCCAAGAGAGAAACCGGCAGTTGAATCAATAATTAAACCAGCCCTAGTTGCAGCTTCAGTGAAGTGCAGCGCATCGTCCTCCATGTTGTCTAATCTGGAGACGAGATGAACATGTATGCGTTTCAGGAGGATAAACTGGAATTGACTGGATTATGTATCGACTATGTAGACACCATCTGCTGTCTTAAAAGCTGAGGTGTAAGATTACTGTCTGGCAACAAGACGTAATATTTCACACATCTCCCTTACTCAGCATTCAGTTTATTTAAGTTATTTGCTGTTAAGTCAGAGCCTCGGTGAGTGCTGTCTACATGATGTGTCTTTTTGTCATGCAGTTTGTTGCGTTGTGAGGTTGAGACATAAAGCCAAAGCATCTGTCCAATCTAAGCGAGACTTGTCGGAGAGAGGAGGGTGAAATATGGACGCACACAAACTCGCATCGCAGAAATTGATGCACCATCAATTTTCACTCAGAAGCC